ATCCAACATGGGAATCTATTGACTCCAGACCTTTACCACAGTGGTATGACGAAGCTAAATTTGGTATATTTATTAACTGGGGAATATATTCAGTACCAAGTATAACTAATGAATGGTTTTGGTACAGATGGAAACATGACAAAAATCCAGAAATAGTTAACTTTATGAAAAATAACTACAGACCAGACTTTACCTATCCCGATTTCGCATCTCAGTTTACAGCTGAGTTTTATAACCCCGCTCAGTGGGCTGATATATTCCAAGCTTCCGGAGCAGAGTAAGTTTAAGATGTTTTACTCGAGTATTTGAGAAGACTATTAAGTCTCTATAGGATTAGAATGGACGTAGGCTAATACCATTTGTTTATGGAAGGCGGAATGGCTTTTTATTCAATTTCTTCATTGCTTTTTTTTAATTCTTAATTCTAAATTCTTATCTCTTAATTCAACGTTTGTTATTGAAAATTGACATTTGTATACAAAAATCTTAATTTGTACCGAAAATGAACATTCTTTGATAAACATTCGATTTTCCAATTATTGAAGTAATAGAATCTTTGCCAAAAATATCCTCAAATACAAATCTACAAGTGCGAAGCTAGCTCAACATTTCTTCAAATGCGAAACGTCCAACACAAAACTCTACCAGCAAATGTTCAAATACAAATGTTCAATAACAAATCTCGCTCAACAAATCTTGCGAAACATTTCTGCAAATACAAGTCGAATATATAATAATATACGCTCATAATTATGACGACAGGTGTCGCTGTACAACCAACATAAAATAAGATATAGATTATAAATAGCCTCTATATCATCCAGTTAAATTTTCAACGCGCTTAACTACGACGACATTCTACGAACAAATGTTCGAATACAAATGTTCAATAACAAATCTCGCTCAACAAAACTCAACGAAACACTTCACCAAATACATGTCGATTATATGCTAGTTCTGAAAAAAAAACGTTCCAATGTTCGACGGGTGGTATCTCAGCTGTTGGTAAACTGATCTCATGTTGTTGCAACAATTTTTTCCATCTGTTTATTAACCGCAATACTACCCGATGAATTTTGGAACGTTTTTTTGTGACACCCGATATATATTTCAGTTATGAATAAATACTTTTTACTAGAAATGAATTCTATGTTTGAAACAATTCTATTCGAAAAACCTAACTGCACGTTTAACACATTGTTACAGATATATTGTTTTTGGAAGCAAACATCATGAAGGGTTTACAAATTGGCCATCTAACTATTCTTTTAATTGGAACTCGATGGCTGTTGGTCCGAAAAGGGATTTGGTTGGTAAGTTGATTATATACACTATACATGTATACATATGTAGAATTGTTACCACCTGGTCCTGACCCAATTTAATTGAACAGGGAATCTGATGTGATGAACATTCTAATTACCAAAAAATGAGTAGCAATTTGATTTGGTCAGATCATGTGGAACGACGCACAGAAATGAAAACTCCAGATTTAAATTTAAATTAAATTTTAAAACTAAATGTTTTCTAATCTTATTTCGCAGCTAGAGTACTTTCATGCAGACATCAGTAGATGTTGTCAACAACACTCTATAAGCTGTCCACACAACGTTTATCTGGAAGTTATTTCATAGTTCACTATATGTTATATATTTCTAGGTGATCTTGCTAAAGCTATTAGACAGAATACCTCTATACATTTTGGCTTGTATCATTCTTTATTTGAATGGTATAATCCCTATTACTTACAAGACAAAGCAAATAATTTCTCTACACAATATTTTGTAAATGTAAGTAAATTTATTTGGTGAAAGTTGTTGTAAAAATAATATTGCATGCAAGATGATTTTTGTTTGGTCAGCGCCATTTCATTTTGCTGGACACAGGAGATGAAACATGAAACGAAAGGATCGATGTTCCCAGTCCCCTCCTACGTAGCCTTAAGCTTCATCATGAAAGCTTATATTTTTCAGGGTAAAACAATGCCAGAATTATACGAATTGGTAAATAACTATAAACCGGAAATCATTTGGTCTGATGGAGAATGGGAAGCTTCTAGTGATTACTGGGATTCTAAACAGTTTATCGCCTGGTTGTATAATGACAGGTATACACGAGTTATTGTTCTTTAAGACAAATCAAAAGCGCTCCATATATATAAAGATTCGGCTTGCCAAATTGCAAAGATACATGTGTTTCTCTAATTTTGTGAAATGGTTTTTTACACTTGTACTCTTTTTGTTACAGTCTTGCTTTTATAAATGTAAGACATGTTTTCTTTCATTAATTACGATGCAGTGTTTACACTTGAACTCTTATTGTTACAGTCCGGTAAAAGATACGGTAGTGACTAATGATAGATGGGGTAAAGATTCCACTTGTCATCATGGTGGATATTTAACCTGTCAAGATAGATATCAACCAGGTAAAAATATAACTGTCCAAAACAACGTTCGTTCAGAGATAAACCCAATTCAGTTTTATAAGAATCTTTCTGTTAGACTAAAATTCTATCATGGAAACCGGATACAAGATTTCATATTGACTATTTTGTACCATAAATTCCAGGTGTTTTACAGAAAAGGAAATGGGAAAATGCCATGACAATAGACAGACAATCTTGGGGTTTTAGACGTAACGCTGCTCTCGATGAATATTTAACAACAGATGAACTTATTGATACGTTTGTTGAAACTGTCAGGTTGGTATGTTTAAGAATATATTACATATAGAAGATAACCATGGATGATTTTATATTAACCGTCCGTGTTTTTCATATTGGAATCCACATTGATTGTTTACGACCAAAAGGAAGTGGATGATTATCCATATCATATGGAAGCCAGCTGCGGCCATATCTACTCTAGACTTCTCGTCCATGAGAAAGCTAGGAAACTCGACTTTTCGCCTACGAGAAAGTGAGGGAAAAGGCGAGGAAAAGGAAAAAAAATGCGAGGAAAAGGCGAGGAAAAGGCGAGGAAAGAGGCGAGAACAATCGAGAAAGCGAGGAAAATTTCTTTTCTCTTGCTCACCATTTTCCTCGCTTTATCACCTTTTCCCCACTTTCTCGCTCTTTTGCTCGCTTTCACGCCTATTCGCCTTTTTCCTCGCCTTTTTTGGAAACTTTTCGAAGAAGGGAATTATGCGTTGTGGCGTATATTGGCCTCACCCATGTCCATCCGTACGTCCGTACGTCCGTCCGCTCGACGCCCACAATTCATCGCACTTCTGGCGAACAGGCGAATGTGCAATTTTTGTATTTTGAGAAATTCGCATTTGAAAATTGACGTAAGTTTGGTCTTCTTTTTTAAAATGAAACCATGATAATAAGGTATCTATCTACAGATCAACATATATGGTACCGGTATTCAATATAAATTGAATTTTGAAAAAGGGCATGTCTGTTTTCTGATATAGGCGTAAGAGTTCAAGTGGGTCACATTTGCCGTTGTGTAAGAAAAATAAAATCTGTGAATCTGCAATTACTTTATTATGAAGGGAAAGGTTCAAAATTTTTGTCTTTCGTGCAGGTTGCTAAATAGTGTCACTGGGACATAATTTTGTCAATATATCCGAACTGTGTCAGTACATTAGGCCTACGCAATATACCACAAGTATTATCCGCTTAGTAAAAAATACCATTAAACCGTACGACTTTGAACCAAACTGAAGTTTCTACCATTTACAAGAAAAGTAGACGGACAGACGGAAATAATATAGACTCACATTTTTAAGCGGGGGTATAAAATTCATATGCTTTATTGAACAGTGAAGGGTTTAACCACAAAATTATTAAAGGTTGCATTAAAATTTATATCTATGACATACATACACAACAATAATTAGTATAATAGAAATATGTAACTTTTGAATAAATTTTCAATAATTTAGCATATATGATCATTAAGATCAATGATGAGGCAATGATAAAAAAATTCTTTAGACATTTCAATGCGTATAACTGCCCAGAACACAATGATGAGAGATCAGCGTATTTTTCTGATGATATTTTTATGTATTTTTTATAAATTTATGTATTTTATATTACGGTTCTGATTGTTTGTACTTGGTATTTATTTTATTCCAGATTTTACCATAAAACTATACTTTCGATTTCCCTAACAGGTCCAAATTATAAATAAAAAAAACATTGATGCGGGGCAACAGATTGAACTATTTCTTTTCATGTGAAACGATTGGTCATTCCGGATTTTATCAGAAACCTTTAGTTGCGTTTTACAAGTCGTGTTTGTGCATTTGGGCATGATGCGACAAGTGGGGCAATGCAGCAAAACGAACCCAAAACGATTATCATGGAGAGCTCCGATGGCAAGGTGATTTCTTCGGTTCTTTTAATTTCTCGCTCAATTGTGCTATGGACTGAATTTTGATTTGCTAACAAAATTCAATAGCATTGCTGGCAAAATCGAATTTTTGTTTTGATTTGAGACATTTTTCGAACCGCTATTGTCAGACCTCTTTAGAAAATCGTAAACATTTGAAGCTATTTCATTTGAACCCCTCAATGCCACAAATAGCACCTCACACCTTTTGTTTTAATGTTGTAAGTTGTAAAATTATAATTCGACAGGCGTCTTCTATAGAACACTTCACATCTGTTAGTTTTTGGAAGGTAGATGACTTGTTGCAAGTCAAAAGATGCAAGGATGTGACTTGGATCATTGTTGGACCTAATCTGGTCTTTGATCTGTCTGAATGCATCTTTTTCGGCAATGTGTGATAGGTATCTGTCTGTAAGTGTTGCCTTTTCACAATCTGAAGCTGTGCGAAAACCTTCACGAAAACCTTCACATCTTTTTTCGGACGGAAAAATTTTAAATTAAAAATTGTTAGATTTTTCACTTTGGTAAGGTAAACCTTTATTACGATTTTCTTTAACAATAATTTTCTTTGGTGTCTTGTTGGGAATCGTGACTTCATCTTGCCTTGCTTCTCCGTCGATTACAAATTGCTCAGGTTTATCTTGAACGTTTTTCTTCTTAGCCGAACTGCTTTGAAGACATGGGCATACCGTACTTCAAGAAAATGGTCATAACACATCATCGTCAAACATGTCTGGCATGCTGCAAATATTTTTTGTTCACAGCCATCTCTTTCACATGTATTATTTTGATATGGTAGGCCTACAATATTGTCACCTCCTGAATCAGATGAAGGAGGAACATAACCTTTATCTTGATCATCATCATAATCGTAATCATTTTCAAAATTTAATCATAAGCTGACATTCGTGCTTTTTTGAGTATATAAGATAAGGGCATATCATATGGTTCCTGAAACAATAAGATGTATGCATATTTTGGTAGGCTACTTTGAAGGACTTATGTACTTGGTTCAGAGGGATGAAAAGATGAAGATCTCCACAAAACAAAATACCGATACTGAAAGCGATGCTTAAATTTGAAGAGACAAAGCCATTAGTTCAGAGTGTGAAGTGGTAGCCTACATGGTGAGAAGGGAAAGAGTGCGATTTGAAGGAAGTGGTTTGGTGAGAAGAATGGCACTGGTCTTCGACGATTTATTGCATTGGCAGCCTCGCCAGCTCAGTTACCTTTGCTCACTAACAATCATGAAGTCGAGATAATACCTTCGGATTTTACAGGCAGTGGCTATTTACCACTGGCGTGGTAAGCGTGGTAAATAGTCAGAAGTACCCCTATTTACCACGGCGTGGTTACTTGTTAAATAAGGCCAATGTCACCATGTTAGTCTATGGAGACAAAACGTGGTAACTAAATTTTACCACGTTTTTTTTTCTTTGGTGGATTTCATCCAATTTTTTTTTCAAATTTTAAAAAATCACACTTTTTAGGTTTCAAAAATATAAATATTGTGAACATTTCACATTGTTAACACACTAAAAAAAGCATTTTAATATCTCTAGCGAAGAAAAATATCCGCCATATTTAATATATGTGACTATGGTTTTCGGGCATTTTGGACGCTAAATTTCACAGTCTAAAAATTTCTGCAATTGCTATGTGATGTGAACCATAAGGAATGCGTGTTTATGATCATACTTCGGTATTGCGTGCATTTCCAGCTGTCTATTAGTCTGCAATTCGTTTATATATACATTTTAAAGCTATGCTTTTGAAGACTTTTATTGAATTTTTAATTTCCAAGCTATAATATTGTATATTCCTGGTTCCCAGGCTATTGTAGGAGAAGAATTATAGAGTTTCCGGATTTCTGGTGCCCTTCAACACGACGAACCCAAGCGAACCTCGACACTTTAGTCATCAAAACTAAAGATAGAAATAGACTCAATGCGGCTGATGATATGCGTAGAATTTGTAGACAACTGTTCCTATATTTGGACTATTGGTGCAAGGAAAACAACAAAGTCTTCCTGCTGAGCATCTAATTGCTTACTTGATTAGTATAGTATCATAGAAGTGATTATTATGAATGAAAAATCTATAAAATTATAAATTTAAAATGTATTGATTGTTATGAGGCATTGCTCTTGTCTTTCGAAATGCGTTCAGTCTATAGCTTATAAACACTCGAGAACCTATCACCAGCCCTATGAAAATACTGTTTAACAGAAGTATGAGGTCGGTAAAGATACAGATATTGATAGGGTTTAACTGTAGTATGTAGTAGAGGTCGGTAATGATACAGATATTGATAGTGATTGATTGAAGTATGTAGTTTAGGTCAGTAATAATACAGATATTAATAGTGTTTGACTGTAGTATGTAGTGGAGGTCAGTAATGATACATATATTGATACTGTTTGACTGTAGTATGTAGTCACGGTCAGTAATAATTCAGGTATTGACTGTGTTTAACTGTAGTATGTAGTCAAGGTCAGTAATGATACAGATATTGATAGTGTTTGACTGTAGTATGTAGTAGAGATCAGTAATGGTACAGATATTGATAGTGTTTGACTGTAGTTTGTTGTAGAGATCAGTAAAGGTACAGATATTGATAGAGTTTTACTGTAGTATATAGTCGAGGTCGGTAATCATACAGATATTGATAGTGTTTGACTGTAGTTTGTAGTAGAGGTCAGTAATGGTACAGATATTGATAGTGTTTAACTATAGTATGTAGTATTACCGATTGGCTTAGCTAAAACAATCCCGTTTCTGAGACTTAAGTATGATTGGTCAAAAAATTGGCGTAACTGTCCCTTTTAAAAAATGATTTGTCCTGGTCGCAAAAAAATTGTTGCTGCATGAATCGAGTTGAAAAGTGAGCCATGTTTCCACCTTCTTGAAAGTTTTTACAATTTTCACATAATTTATTTGTTTGTTTCGAAGTTCATTTTAATTCTGGACACTAAGAAAAATAAAAACAACATTGTGTTGGTGAAGGCAAGTTTCTGGACGACAATTGGAAGAGGTTTGAATGAAAGACTAACAAGTCAGTTTTTTAGTCACATGATAGCGGACGGGTCCTTTTTAAATTTATAAGTGACCAAGTTTGACAATTAAACACATATTTAAACATTTTGTCCGAATTTTGTGGATCATGGATTATTGTGTCACAAAATATTGTGGAGCCAGGGCGAACGAACTAGGGGCAAACATGAAAAAGACCAAAAATGTATAGGGGCGAACGCGTTTAACAGTACTTAGCCAAATATAAAATTTTAACTTCATGACCTAGGTCTGCGCTTTTATGGAATTTTTATTCTCATATCACCCTAATATCCATAGGACACAACATTACAATTTTTGTGGAAATATACATTAGGTCTACTTACTCAGTGGCGTAGCCAGGATTTCATTGACGGGAGTGGGGGCAACTTTACCCTATTTTTTCCCAGGGCACTACCCTCTAAATACGCCACTGTAGTTACTTGTAAAAACGTAGTAATATTAGGAGACACATTGCATAAAATGCAGGAATTTATTTTCAAAACTTATTCTCACACAAAATACCCTTACGATCGTTTGGGGAAGTTTAGTCCTCAATTGATTTTGAATAGATATACTTGTAATAAGCCTGCTTTCCAATTCATTAACAAGGTTAAAAGTAAATTTGACTAATTTGTAATTAAAATCTATTGCCAAAAGAACAAATGAATGTACACCAAATTTCATACAACGCGGAATTTTTTTAGACAGGTTTGAATTGAGAAGTATTCAGCCTTGAACTATGAACTCTTCACAATCGGCCTTGACAAATAGCTGTAAAGGTACTTATGACTATTTACCACGCTTACCACGCCAGTGGTAAATAGCCACTGCCGATTTTACAACTCGGTTTTCTCCTGCCAGTGATACAGGTCTGTCTAGTCGTTCCGAGGCCCCGTGCGCCTTGTGCCACAGAAATTAAAAGATCCATCGCCAGCTCGAAACTGAAGAAGAGTAGGCTGATGGAAATGTCCTTCATGGAACACTACATTAGCCCAGAAAAGTAGGAAGTAAAACTCCATTAAATTATTTTTCATTTCCGACGATTCATAGACCTATTTAAAAACTTTTTGGGGAGTTTCAATCATTAATTTAGATAAAACAAGACTTACCTATTTGACACTTGCACCGACTTCTTGACAGTAATCGATTGGAATTTCGCACTGAAATGTGCAATGTCCTTGACCCTAACTGGACAAACAATTATGCACCAAAGTTAAAGATGGGTTCCCAGCTAAGATTAATTATTAAAATTATAAGTTTGCATAAAGGTATGAAAAAATATGACACAAACAGAAGCCGTAAGTCTATTTACCCCAAAAATTCGAACTTAAGCTACCCATTAGTCTCTTTAGTTGTTAACATCGGCCTTATGAAGGTATGAACAAAAGGTTTTAAATTGAAAAAATTTTATCTTTAAAATAGTACCTAACATTGTATGACAATACATCTATGTTGTATATACAGACGGGCAATATTCGTCAATATGTATTATGAATAAAAATAAAATCTAACAAACTGGCGAATGTCATATTCGCCACTTCGCAAGAAAATATATACGAACATTTTAGTATATTCGCCACTGCATCACGTGCATATTTTATAAGGATCTTATCCATTAGTTTTGAAATTAAGAGACATTAATCTTTGTGATAATATGATCGATTTAATACAATTATCTCAAATGTGAAAAAAATGCATATTCGCGACGAATTGCTCGTAATCACCCGAGACTTCTCGCGAGAGAGCGAGAGTAAAAAAGCGAGGAAATAAGCGAGAAAGCGAGATACAGATTACAATTTTCCATGATTTTATTTTATTTTATTTTTAGTTGTTGGTAATATTAATAGAATATCGAAATCATTTTCGTAATGATTATTGGACTCATTTTTAGCACATGACTTGAGCATAGTTCGAGTGCTGATCTCGCTCTAAAAATTGTGTTTTATTTTGATTTATCTGCCACATGGGCGTGACTATCTTTAATAATAATGCTACCTGTATATATAATTTTTGTTTACTAAAGCTGTGGAGGAAATATGTTGATGAACGTAGGACCAACTAAAGAAGGAACTATCAGTCCCATATTTGAAACCAGATTAAGGGACGTAGGGTCATGGTTAACGGTAAATGAAGAGGCTATCAGAAGTTCAAAACCATGGACCTCACAAAACGACACAGTAACCCCAAGAGTTTGGTAAGTTTACATTAGAGTTTTAAACTTAAAAGTTAATTAATGGGTGATACTGTTTTATACTATATGTTAACATTGTAGTTTTAAGAGTCAGGCTTATCCTATCTTCACAATGTCAAGATATCACGAACTTCGTACTTACACCTTGACTGTACTAGTCATTACTTTTCTATCCCGGAATGTGGTGATTTGATTGTATTGTACGCAGCGAATACAGTCAATCAAAGGAAGTATTATGGATTTATGTTCACAGACTTTCTAGAGTACAATCTAATCAAATCGCTGCATTTACAAACGTCCATGAAACTAGGTGAACATTGCAGTTAAGGTATAAGTACGAAGTGTGTAATAGCTTGACATTGTGAAGATGGACTGATCCAAGCGTTTTCAACATCGATCAAAAACAGGAGAATAGTGACCTACAGTACAATCATCTGGCATAAATTATCATGAAATATGTCATTTGTTTGAATGAAAAGCTCCCCAGCAAAGATTCTTTCAAAGTGACGTTTTAAAACAAACGATCTTAACATGACACATGGCTATAACATAATCTTGTATTCAGTCTATAAGCAATGCTTATTATTATAATCACAGGTACACCATGAAAAACAGTGACGTATACGCCATAGTGCTTGACTGGCCAACAACTTCAACTCTCAGTCTGGGAGCACCAAATCCTCAACCAGACACAACAGTGTCTTTACTGGGTTATAATGGTGGAACCTTTACCTGGAAATCAAGACAAGGAGGTGGAATGGATATCATGATACCGGCTATTTCTGCAAATAAGATGCCATGTCAATGGGCGTGGGTGTTTAAACTATCGGGCCTTTCTTAGGTATGACGATAAAATAATACAACTTTATCATTATAGCAGGATTTGTCTTCATATATCAATACTTCAGTGGTTATAGGAAGCCTACATTTTTATGGTTTTGTCATTACATTGCATTGATTGATAAAAAAAT